GGCCTCTTTACGACCTGTGGACTTCAACTCCCAGAATTCCTGAGCCAGCATGGGAATCGAAGTCCACAAGTCGTAAAGGTGCCATCGTTGCTCACTTCTGGTTTTTACTCAAAGCAATGCAAGCTTTGGCCGAATGAGGCCTGTTCCCGCTGCGAGGAAATTCAGGGGGTAGCTGGGTGGGTGCCCTCATACCCCCACCCCCCCACCCAGCCCCTACTACCCCACTCCACTTCCCAGAGCCAACTGGCTCACTTACTCGTCCTCCTCAGGACCCATCCGGTTCTTTTGCTGCTGCCGACAGATCAGGATTCCGGTGACCACCACCGCCAAGGCCACGATGGTGGCTATGAGGCCTCCGATGATGCCCCCAGTGGTGGCTGCGCCCACTGGGTTGGGCTTCTCTGGACCAGGGAATAAAAGAGCATAACCTCAGTAAAAGACAACCCAATTCTGCTCAAAGGTTCATCCAACAAGCAGTCTGGGAACCAATACATAGCATGTTACAGGTGGTCCTCAACTTATGACCATGATTGTTGCTAAGCGATGCGGTTGTTAGGTTGAGTCACGCCCAGTTTTACAGCCGTGGCCCTCGCTTAATGGCTGCCAGAAGGAACGTCATAAAATCCAAGACGGTCAACATGGCTGATCCTTTTTTATGACCGTAACAGGCAAACTCGATGATGGTTGTAACTAGAGGACTACCTTGACTCCAAGTTCCCTTTCTGGAAACTACGCCATCTTCAGGTAGCCCTCTGTCAGGGCTCCGGCAGTTACCCCCATTTAAATCATGAGTCTCGAGCCAAACTTCCAAAACTTAAAAATAATTTATTGGGAGTTAACATGCCGGCTGTCAACTCATAAAACATTTTGTACACACATTTTATAGTTGACAACAGAAAGAAGGGGGGAGAGTTTCAAAGAACAGATGGCAGTGTGGAATCGAAAGTACATTCTATTCATATTTTCTTCAAACACTGATTAGATGACTGAAGCTTCTGCCATGCAAAAATCTAATTGGAGAGCATGATTGATGACTCTTGGCTGTGGACATTTTTCGTTGGATGATACACCCAGAGGGGTGGCGGGAAAAGCAGGGTCAAGGGTGACAGTAAATTATGTATCTTAAGAGTCCGGCTGTCTGTCAGGATTCCGGCAGTTACTCCAATTAAATCATGAGCTTCGAGCCACACTCCCAAAACTAAAAAAGATTTATTTGAAGTTAACATTTTACATCCGGCATTAACCTAGGCGTGGCCGACTCTAACACACATCATTCATTGTCACCCTTGACCCTGGTTTTCCCCCCACCCCCTGGGTATATCATAATTCACATTCTCCAATGGGACACATCCATAGCCAAGAGTCATCAATCATCCTCTCCAGTTAGAATTTTGCATGGCAGAAACTTTGGTCACCTAGTTACTATCTTTGAAAAACTATTTATGGAATGCACTTTCGATTTCCAAGCTGCTACACTGTTCCCCACTCCCTTTCTGTTGGCAACTCTAAAAAGACCAGAGAAATATTTTATGAGTTGACACCCTCGACTTAATGACCACCATTGAGCCCAACATTTATGTTTGCTAAGCGAGACAGTTAAGTGAGCTTGCGTCCCATTTTACGACCTGCCTTGCTGCACAGTTGTTCAGCGAACCACTGCAGTTGCTAAGTTAGTAAGACGGTCCTTAAGCGAATCTGGCTCAACCCCCCATTGACTTTGCTAGGCAGAAGGTCGCAAAAGGGGATCACGTGACCGCCCCCCCCAGAGATACTGCAACCGTCATAAATACGAGTCAGTGGCCAAGTGCCTGAATTTTGATCGCCTAGCCATGGGGATGCTGCAATGATCATTTGTGTAAAAAAACAATCATAAGTCAATTTTTCAGCGCCGTTGTCACTTTGGTCACTAAACGAACTGTTGTAAGTTAAGGACTACCTGCAATAGGGAAGCCGGCCTTCTTGGCCTTGGGGCTTCCCCGCCAGAATGTCTCCTTCCCACTCTCATCCCCAGCAAATTCACATTGTCCCACCTCTGCCGCCCACTAAGCGAGCCTGCCTCAGTTTCCCAGAATCCTAGACTTTTATCAGGGTTGACACCTGCCTGGGGATTGTTTTTGTGGTGTCGCCCAGAGTCAATTAAATTGGGCGTCTCTCTTAATTTGATTAGTTAATTCTTTCCTTCCCCGCGTATTGAGCTGCAATGCAAAATATTTCTGCCTGTTTCTTCATTTGGCGCTGGGTTCAGCCGTCACGAAGCGTGTTTGATTCATAGCTACACATGTTGGGTAATCTCAAAATAATACTCTGGCATCACAGATTAACAGAGTTGCAAGGGACCTTTGGAGGTCTTCTAGTCCCTTGTTCAAGCTGAAGGCTTTTAAGAAGAGATTAGACGGCCGTTCCTCTGAAATGGTGCAGGGGGGCAGGGGGTCTTCAAACTTGGCAATTTTAAGACTTGTGGACTTCAGCTCCCAGAATCCCTGAGCTAATGCGATTGGAAGAAGAATTCTGGGAGTTGAAGTCCGCAAGTCTTAAAGCTGTCGAGTTTGAGCTGCCCTACACCAGAGGTCTCCAAACTTGGCAACTTTAAGACTTGTGCACTTCAACACCCAGAATTCCTCAGCCAGCTGGCTGAGGAATTCTGGGAGTTGAAGTCCACAAGTCTTAAAGTTGCCAAGTTTGGGGACCCCTGCCCTACACCATTTCAGAGAAATGGCCATCTAATCTCTTCTTAAAAACCTCCAGTGAGGATATAAACGAGTGATTCTCAACCTTGGTCACTTTAAGAGGGGTGGACTTCAACGCCCAGAGTTCCTCAGCCAGCTATGCTGGTTGCGAGGTTGAGAAACAATGCCGCCTGGGGAATTCTGGGAGTTGAAGTCCACCCCTCTTAAAGGGGCCAAGGTTGAGAAACAATGCCAGCTGAGGAATTCTGGGAGTTGAAGTCCAGCCCTCTTAAAGGGGCCAAGGTTG